GTGCACACGATCCCGCATTGGCAAAGTTGCAAAGGCACTTCTGTACAGAGCTGCGTGGTCAGGTATGTGTGAATGCAGGCACACATGAAAGCAGGGAAGACAAACAGAGAGAGGGAGAGAGAGAGAGAGAGAGGGAGGGAAGGGGAGAGGGAGAAGGAGAATGATGCCAGAATCTTTATTACAATGCAAGCTCCTCCAGCCGCCGACTCTCTGCCAACCTTGCAGGACGGAACGACAGATACGACTTTTTGAGAGGCTGACTGTGACTTTTTGAGGTGCGAAAGTCCCCAACACGGTTTCCTTACTGCCTGCGTCTGGTCTCATGATGCGACTTGATCTTTATCGGCCGGGCTCCACTGCTAGAAACGAGTCTTAGACATGTCTTTGCACTTGGATCTGCGAGCACTCGAACATTGCCCTGCGGAGTAAAACAACATCGTGTGTGTTGCACCCACTATGCAAAAAGTCACACAAGCAAACCGTTTGGAAGCGATGCTGATGTCCTCAACCGACAAGCAAAAACACTAAACACCATTCGATACTTTGGGCGGCAGAATCTGTCTGCTTGCTGTCGGTCCAGACGCATCCAGGCACACAGTGACGTACATGCAAACAAGCACAACCTAAAACACGGCGATGCACCCTTGCAGATACATGTCCGCACAAGCACAGAGCAGAACGACATTGCATTACATTACGTAGGCTACACCCAGCTGGATCACATCACGCTAAATCACCCTACCATACCTTTATCACTCGCTCTCGACGAAATCAGGCGAGGTTACATACGTACACACATGCATACATACATACATACATACATACATACATACATACATACATACATACAGATGGATTCATACATTAAATGCATGCCAGACTGTACGCGCGTGTAGATCAACTTATACATGCATTAAAGCATGTGCTAATGCACACATTGCACATTCGTAGATAGATTGATGCTTAAACTCACTCAACATACACACATCCATGCATACGTGCGGACACGTGCCTCTACCCTAAGCCCTTCATTCCTACACCTTCAGCCCGAAACCCCGATCCTTAATCCCCAACTTAGATCCGAAGCCGAAGCCCTTGAAAACTTCCGAGTGAAAGCCTTGAGTCAGAAAACTGCTGCCGGCCTTCGCTCTTCCAGCAACTTCTGGCTGCTTGCCTGGGAAAGGCAGATGTCTTGGAATGCTTCGGGGGTCTTCCTCATTTGATAGAAGCAAGGTACGTCTATCCTGCAGAGATAACGACTCCCAAACAATGCCAGTGCCTAGAAAAATCGAAATTACATGTCAAGCACAAGCGCGGCCTGGGCCCGCCCATTTTGTGCTTGTGGCCGCATGGGAGGAGAGGGCGGAGGAGAATCGTCATCGTCCTGCACGGCTCCGTAGCCCACTTTGGTGCTCTAAAACCCTCGACCATGTCCTTCATGAAAAATCATCTCCTTTTCTGCTACGAGCCAGCGGACTTGTGCACGGTTTGGGCAGAGTGTGCTCAACCTGGTAACCTGCTGCCCACCATGGTGTTAGGGTTTAGGGTTTAGGGTTTAGGGTTTAGGACTTTCCGCTGCGGTGTTGTCATACTCGAAGTTTCGGCTGGGCAGCAGTGCCAATGCCTTCGACTGATGCGCGGGCAACCGAGCGAGCTCTGGCGATCCTCTATGCAGAGCCCGACTATTATCAACTCAAGAAGGTGCATCTCAGCTTGAAGCAGACAGACGAGGCTCCCCTCCGAACTCAAGTCCAAAGATCACAACATGAGGCTTTGAACTCAGAACATCTGGGCGATAAACCACAAAAATCTCAGAGATCCATCCATCCGAAACCCTTCCAGGTGGAGCCTCGCTGGAGTAGTCCGACTGGTTCCTTCAGAAGCGAAGGGACCGAAGGGACTCACAGCGCTTGTCGGGTTTCAAGGTGGTTTCACTTAGTAAGTAGATATCAAGTAGAGTTATAAGTCATAAGTACCCGAAAAGGGACCCTAATTGGGGTTCTGGTTGTTTCTGGGGCTTCTGATCCTTTTGGGTTTGGGTCTATTGGGGCTTGGAGTTCGATTCACAGTTTCAAGGCAGATCCTTGAGATTGAAGCAGGCCAGCGGGGATCGCATGCTTGAGCTAGGGTTAGTGCGTCAGTTCGAACAGAGTTTCGGGGTCTACTGCATGATATACACATTCTAACCCCTGTATTATATATACATATATATATATATTATAGCTTAGGATGGCCTTAGGGGTCAGAGTTGAAGCTGCAGTGTCCTGGCGATGTTCTCATTGTTTGGTAAGCAATCGCGGAGGTGCCCAGGACCGCGGCAAGACTTACAGCAACACCCAGTTCGACGCCTTGAGCAACACTGATGCGGTGGACTCCCGTGCTATTGGAGCACTATATAGGATATGTGGCACTACAGCGACTTGACGAGGATAGACGAGGCAAGTCCGCAAACCTTCTTTCAACAAAGCTCACAACTTTGAACCCCACAAACCCTACTTGGAGGTTCATGAGTAGTTATAAGTGGGGTTATAAGTCCCCTCATAGGGTTATAATTATAGTTACCCTGCTTATAACTACCCATGAACCTCCAAGTAGCCTATGTACAGCATTGCATTCCCAGAACTCTGAAATGTTGTTCCTGTGCTCTCATGCCGCTCTTGCTCCAGCCTGCCCTCCAGGTCCGACGCACTGAAGCCGCTGTAGTCCGTGGATCTCGGATGCTTTTGTAGGGGAACTTGGAGGTTCGTGGGTAGTTATAAGTGGGGTTATAGGGTTCCTTTAAGGGTTTAGGGTTTAGGGTTCATGGGTAGTTATAAGTGGGGTTATAAGTCCCCTAATAGGGGTTATAATTATACTTACCCTACTTAT